CCACAACCATCCCCGGAGCCCCTGAGCCATCCTAGGGGGCCCTCAGCGGCATCCCGAGACTCTGCTGCCCTCATCCCGGATGTCTCCCCTATCCATTCCCGGAACCCCTAAGTCATCCCAGGGGACCGGGATGCAGCCGGTGCTCTCCACCTCAGTCCATCCCGTCCATCCCCTCAGCCATCCCGGGGGCTCTGCCCAGCCCCCACTCCATCCCTTTGGGAATAAAAAGGATGAGGATGCCACGCACGAGAGGAGCTGGCAGCACCCGGGGCTCCAGGCGGGATGTATCCCATCGGGATAACCTCTCCAGCCCTGCTGCCATCGTGCCCACCAAGTGCTGACCTCCCACAGGGATTGACGGCTGGGCTGAGGAGGGGTTTGGTGGGTAAAGAGAAAGCAGAACTCGCCCAGTGGCGGAGCCCCCGCAGCCCCTGGACACGGCTCCAGCCCGGCTTCATTATCAGAGGAAATGACAACAGCACACGGCTGGGGGCAGAGAATGCCCCCTCCAAAGTTTACAGCTGGCTGCGGCTGAAATCAGCTAAATGGACCATGGAGACCTGGGGAAAATCATTTAAGGAAGGGGGGAAAAATCCACCAGCCGGGTCCCGTGTTTCCAAATATAGAGCGAGCTCTGTCAGTGTTAATAGGATGGGCATAATTGCTCCCGGACTTTGCTGGGTTGAGCGCGGCCTAATTGCTCTCCCGGAACGATCTAATCCGGGCCGTGGCGGGTTAGTGGTGCCTCGCAGCCAGGGCTGCCGCTTCCACCGGGAAATTGCCCCTGGAGCAGGCGATTAGAGCTGTTAATGGCCTGGCTTCAGGGGCCGCGGAGCAGCACCACAAGCGGCCCCGGCGTTTTTCCTCCTGCTGCTTGAAACAACCGTGCTGAATAGGAATAGAACTGGATCCACAAAAACATCCTATTTCAGGCCAGCCTGAGCGTTTTCCAGCTGAGGGCTCTGGCAGAAGCCAGCGTGGGGGCTGAAGTCACCCGGCACATTTACAAGCTCACATCCACTGCTGACTTCTCCACACCAGAGCCTTTGTGGTGTAGAGGAGGGCAGAGGAGGCTTAGTTATTTCCAAGTGGAGCTTCTCTGTAGTAGGAAGGAGAGGGAGGCTCTTTCCACCATCTCTGTACATCCAGGAGGTTGTGGAGAGGCTGGGCTGTGGCTCCAGCGTGGACCTGAGCAGATCCCCCCTTGTCGA